GAGCCGGGAAGAACCGTGGACCCGTCCTGACATAGGATGTAACCAGAGACTTTTAAGCCAGCAGTTATAACATCTCTGCTACAAGCCTGCATCGAGAACTGGGAGATTCGCTGCATGTAATGTATGATACTTTAACAACCTCACTCTCAGGCTTTTCTTTCTTTTAGTAATAGACCTTTAGATTGTAGATTCTAAAGGATTGGCTCAGCATGGTCTTGTGGGTAAGATCCAGAGTGTAAATTGGCTAGCTGCTTAGAACCAGACGAACCCGTTTGGGGGAGGTGAGATGGGGTTCTAAAACTTCTCACCTGTGTGCTAGGCCGGGGTTGATTGGGGCACGGAGAGAGCTGGGGTGCTGGAGGGGTTTTGCTTGTGCGGCTTCAGGCTGGCCAGGCAGGCAGCTGAAGTGCTCTGTGCGACTGGTATGTGGCCTATTTGGGAAGGTCTCCAGTCTGGGGGCTATACAGAGCTCCAAATTTGACTGGGTGCCCCGAAATCAATCAGCCTCTGCCAGGGCACCCCTGGGAGCCTGGGCCTGCGCCAGTCCCCAGCTGGCCTCAGCTTCCCCATCTGTAAAATGGGGCCAAGGAGCCTTCCTCCGGCTGGCTGGTCTCAGGCACTGAGGCCCGGGGTGCAGACACCTCTGAATGACCCATCCGCGCCGGGTGCCGGGTCGATTTCCCAACCATCCCAGGGACTGTGGTACGGCCTGCGAGGGGAGGGTGGGCCCGCGGGGAAGGAGGGGGAAGAAAGAGAGATCCCCTTGGAGAGGGGGGCTGGTGGGGGAGCGAGGGGAGGGGCGACAGGCAGACACAGCCCTCGGTGGCCCGGAGAGGGGAGGGAGGCAGTTTCTTGGGAAGCAAATTCACCCCCCCAGAAGGCGCATGGGGCGGCAGTGGGGCAGCGCCCTGAAGGAGGCGCCACAAGCGACAGGGCCTGGGGCTGCCAGCGACGTCAAGGGGAGCGACTATTGGTAACAGGACAGAGTGTGCGTGCGAGCGTGTGCACGTGTGCGAGTGCACGACTGTGCTCTCAGGTGCACGTGCCACAGTGGTGATCGATATCGATACATTATCAGTGAATGTGGCGTTCTCCCTGTAAGTCCAACGTGCACCGTGACTGGCCCACGGGGCCCTGCTCTGGGCCGGGGTTGGGCCGCACCTCCCCGAGCCGGGCCGCTCTCTACTCACAGACGACGCTGAGCCTGGACGCTGTGCTTTTCACGTTGGTGCTGTCTGGGGCCGGCCTTGCTTCGCACGTGAACTCCCGCCCATTGTCCTGCTCGCGAGCCGTGAGCCAGACGTGCCCGAGGGGCTCGGTGCCGGAGGCCAGGACTCTCACGGGGTCTCGGAGCGTGAGCAGGGCGCGCGGGGGCTCCATCGCAGAGTGGCAGGTAAGAGTCACGTTGCTGCCCGCGAGGGTCTGGGTCTTGTTGATCTCCAGGAGGGGCTGGGGGAGACCTGCATGGACCAGGTCAGAGCTGTGTGTGGCCCGGCTGCCCCCCACGGGCTGCGTTGCTGGGGGCCAGGGCGCGCTGCACCCGCCAGACGGGGCTCCGGACACACCTGGCCGTTACTGCCCACACCCACAGGGCACTAGGCCCACGTCCCAGGGGAGTTAGGCACCGAAATTCCCCAGGGGACCTGAGCCCAAATTCCTCCACTCCTGGCCTGGTACCTAAATCCCCACGGTGCCCCCGCCCGCCCCTCCAGCTCCTGGGCCCAGGCTCTGTCCTCGGGCAGCGCCACCTCCGTGCTCAGGGTGCAAACCTGCCTCTCACCAGCGGGGCCGTGGGCAAAGTGACTCCTGCCCCGTGGGGGGGGGGGATGGCCTCCGGGCC